AAACTTCTCTGAGCTGAAAGAACATGTTCTAACCCAATGCAAAGAAACTAAGAACCTTGAAAATGGATTAGACAAAATGCTAATTAGAATAACCAGCCTAGAGAAGAACATAAAAGACTTTACGGAGCTGAAAAACACAGCACAGGAACTTCATGAAGCGCACACAAGTTTCAATAGCCGAATCAATCTAGCAGAAGAAAAGATATCAGAGATTGAAGACCACCTCAATGAAATAAAAAGGGAAGGCAAGAAAAGAGAAAAAATGAGTGAAAAGACAAGAACAAAGCCTCCAAGAAATATGAGATTATGTGAAAAGACCTAATCTACGTTTGATAGGTCTATCTGAAGAGGACAGAGAGAATGAACCCAAGCTGGAAAACACTCTTCAGGATATTTATTATCCAGGAGAATTCCCCCAACCTAGCAAAGCAGGCCAACATTCAAATATAGGAAATACAAGGAACACCACAGAGATACTCCTTAAGAAGAGCAACCCTGAGGCACATAATCATCAGATTCACCAGAGTTGAAATGAAGGGAAAAATGGTAAGGGCAGCCAGAGAGAAAGGCCAGGTCACCCACAAAGGAAAGCCCAGCAGATTCACAGCGGATCTCTCGGCAGAAATCCTACAGGCCAGAAGAGAGTGGGGGCCAATACTCAGCATCCTTAAAGAAAAAAACTTTAAACCCAGAATCTCATATCCAGTCAAGCTAAGCTTCATAAGTGAAGGAGAAATAAAATCCTTTACAAACAAGTAATTACAGAGAGATTTCATTGCCACCACACCTGCCTTACAAGAGCTCCTGTAAGAAGCAGTAAACATGGAAAGGAACAACCAGTACCAGCCACTCCAAAAGCATACCAAATGGTAAAGACCAATGATGCAAACAGAAAACTGCATCAACCAACGGGCAAAACAACCAACCAGTAACAAATGGACCAAATTCACACATAACGATATTAACCCTAAATGTAAATGGCCTAAACGCCACAATCAAAAGACAAAGACTGGCAAATTGGGTACAAAATCAAGACCCATCAGTGTGCTGTATCCAGGAAACCCACCTCACATGCAAGGATACACAAAGGCTCAAAATAAAGGGATGGAAGAAGATTTACCAAGCAAATGGAAAGCAAAAAAAAGCAGGAGTTGCAATCCTGGTCTCTGATAAAATAGACTTTAAACCAACAAAAATCAAAAGAGACAAAGAAGGACATTACATAATGGTGAAAGGATCAATGCAACAAGAAGAGTTAATGATCCTAAATATACATGCACCCAACAGAGGAGCATCCAGATACATAAAGCAAGTTCTTAATGACCTACAAAGAGACTTAGACTCCAGCACAACAGTGGGAGACTTTTAACACTCCACTGTCAATATTAGACAGATCAACGAGACAGAAAATTAACAAGGGTATCCAGGACTTGAACTCAGACCTGGACCAAGCAAACCTAATAGGCATTTACAGAACTCTCCACCCCAAAGCCACAGAATATACAGTCTTCTCAGCACTACATCACACCTACTCTAAAACTGACCACATAATTCTCCTCAGGAAATGCAAAAGAACAGAAATCATAACAAACAATCTCTCAGACCACAGTGCAATCAAGTTAGTGCTCAGAATTCAGAAACTAACTCAGAACTGCACAGCTTCATGGAAACTGAACAACTGGTACCTAAATGTTGACTGGATAAACAATGAAATGAAAGCAGATATAAAGATGTTCTTCGAAACCACTGAGAACAAAGACACAACATACCAGAATTTCTGGGACACATTTAAAGCAGTGTCTAGAGGAAAATATATAGCAATAAATGTCCACATGAGAAGCAAGGAAAGATCTAAAATCAACACCCAATCATCAAAATTGAAAGAGCTAGAGGAGCAAGGTCAAAAAAACTCAAAAGCTAGCAGAAGACAAGAAATAACTAAGAGCAGAAATGAAGGAGACAGAGACACAGAAAACCCTTCAAAAAAATCAATAAATCCAGGAGCTGGTTCTTCGAAAAGAACAACCAAATAGACAGAACGCCAGCCAGATTAATAAGAAAAGAGAGAAGACTCAAATAGATGTAATAAAAAACATTAAGGGGGATATCACCACTGATCCCACAGAAATACAAACTACCATCAGAGATTACTACAAACAACTCTATGTACATAAACCAGTAAATCTGGAAGAAATGGATAAATACCTGGACACCTGTACCCTCCCAAGCCTACATCAGGAAGAAGTCGAAACCCTGACTAGACTAATAACAACGGTTGAAGCTGAGGCCGCAATTAATAGCCTACCCACCAAAATAAGCCCAGGTCCAGATGGGTTCATAGCTGAATTCTACCAGACATACAAAGAGGACTTGGTACCATTCCTTCTGAAACAATTCCAAACAATCCAAAAAGAGGAAATCATCCCCAACTAACTTTATGAGACCAACATCATCCTGATACCAAAACCCGGCAGAGACTCAACAAAAAAAGAACACTTGGCCAATATCCATGATGAACATCGATTCAAAAATCTTCAATAAAATACTGGCAAACCAATTGCAATGTCACATCAAAAAGCTTATCCATCACAATCAAATAGGCTTCATTCCAGGGATGCAAGGCTGGTTCAACATACTCAAGTCTATAAACATAATCCACCACATAAACAGAACCAAAGACAAAAACCACATGATTATCTCAATAGATGCAGAGAAGGTCTTTGACAAAATTCAACAGCCCTTTATGCTAAAATCTCTCAATAAACTAGGTATTGATGGAACATATCACAAAATAATAAAAGCTATTTATGACTAACCCACTACCAATATCATACTGAATGGGCAAAAACTGAAAGCACTCCCTTTGAAATCTGGCACTAGACAAGGATGCCCTCTCTCACCACTCCTATTCAATATAGGATTGGAAGTTCTAGCCAGAGCAATCAGGCAAGAAAAAGAAATAAAGGGTATTCAATTAGGAAAAGAGGAGGTCAAATTGTCTCTATTTGCAGATGGCATGACTGTATATTTAGAAGACCCCACAGCTTCAGTCCAAACTCTCCTTAAGACTTCAACAAAGTCTCAGGATACAAAATCAATGTGTAGAAATCACAAGCATTCCTATACAACAATAACACCCCATAGTTTCAGCCCAAACTCTCCTTAAACTGATAAGCAACTTCAACAAAGTCTCAGGATACAAAATCAATGTGTAGAAATCACAAGCATTCCTATACACCAATAACAGACAAAAAGAGAGCCAAATCAAGAACGAACTGCCATTCACAATTGTTACAAAGAGAATAAAATACCTAGGAATACAACTAAAACAGGAGGTAAAGGATTTCTTAAAAGGAGAACTACAAACCACTGCTCAAGGAAATAAGAGAGGACAAAAACAGAAGGAAAAACATTCCATGCTCATGGTTAGGAAGAATTAATATCACAAAAATGGCCATACTGCCCAAAGTAATTTACAGATTTAACGCTATCCCCATCAAACTACCAATGACCTTCTTCACAGAACTGGAAAAAAACACTTTAAACTTCATATGGAACCCAAAAAGAGCCCGCATAGCCAAGACAATCCTAAGCAAAAAGAACAAAGCTGGCAGCCTCACGCTGTCGAACTTCAAACTATACTAGAAGGCAACAGCAATCAAAAAATCATGGTACTGGTACCAAAACAGAGACATAGACCAAAGGAACTGAACAGAGGCCTCCAGACCAACACCACACATCTACAACCATCTGATCTTTGACAAACCTGACAAAAACAAGTAATGGGGAAATGATCCCATTTAATAAATGGTGTTGGAAAAATTAGCTAGCAATATGCAGAAAGCAGAAACTGGACCCCTTCCTGACACCTTATACTAAAATTAACTCCAGATAGATTAAGGACTTAAATATTAGACCAAACACCATAAAAACCCTAGAAGAAAACCTAGGCAAAACCATCCTGGACATAGGCATAGGCAAGGCCTTCATGACTAAAACACCAAAAGCAAGGGCAGAAAAAGCCAAAATAGACAAATGGGATTTAATTAAACTTCAGAGCTTCTGTACAGCAAAAGAAACAATTAGAGTGAACTGGCAACCAATAGAATGGGAAAAAATTTTTGCAATCTACCCATCTGACAAAGGGTTAATATCCAGAACCTACAAAGAACTAAAACAGATTCACAAGAAAAAAACAAACACATCCATCCAAAAGTGGGCAAAGGATATCAACAGATACTTTTCAAAAGAAGACATATATGAAGCCAACGAACATATGAAAAAATGTTCATCATCAGTGGTTATTAAAGAAAAGCAAATTAAAACCACATTGAGATACCATCTCATGCCAGTTAGAATGTCAATCATTAAAAAATCTGGAGACAACAGATGCTGGAGAGAATGTGGAAAAATAAGAACACTTTGACACTGTTGATGGGAGTGTAAATTAGGTCAACCATTGTAGAAGACAGTGTGGCGATTCCTCAAGGAACTAGAAATAGAAATTCCATTTGACCCAGCAATCCCATTACTGGGTATATACCCAAAGGACTATAAATCATTCAATTCTAAAGACACATGCACCTGCATGTTCATCTCGGCACTGTCTACAATAGCAAAGACCTGGAACCAACTCAAATGCCTATCAATGATAGACTGGACAAAGAAAATGTGGCACATATACACCATGGCATATTATGCAGCCATTAAAAATGATTAGTTTGTGTCCTTTGTAGGGACATGGATGAAACTGGAAACCGTAATTCTCAGCAAACTGACACAAGAACAGAAAATCAAACACTGCATGTTCTTACTCATAGATGGGGGTTGAAGAATGAGAACGCATGGACACAGAGAGAGAAGCATCACACACTGGGGTCCACTGGTGGGGCTATGGGAGGGCTAGTGGGAGGGAGGGTAGGGAGGGATAACGTGGGGAGAAATGTCAGGTATACGTGATGGGGGAATGGAGGCAGCAAACCACCTTGCCATGAACGTACCTATGCAATAATCTTGCATGATCTGCACATGTACCCCAGAATCTAAAGTACAATAAAATAAATAAATAAAAATAACTGTGTTGAAAGTTAACAGTTTTTATCTGGGTCTTGGCTTAAAGAACTTGCATACTGTCATTCAGATTACAGACCATATAACCAAAGCACTGTCTAGCTAATTGTAGGTTATTCTAATTAAAAATAAAGTACCTTCCCCTAAAACATTCATTTAACAACTGAAACTGTAAATGGTAATATGTAAAAGATATTATGTTATAGATTCCTAGAGCTAATTCCTAGTTTTCAGCCCCAAACTCTACATATAATTCCTTCAAAAAACACAAAACAAAACTGATCTTACTTTACAAAATTAAACAGAATATTTACTATTAAAAACCTAGAGGCAATATGTTAACATCATCTCCTTTTTGAAAAATTCATTTAAAATACAAGCTCACAAAAGTCAAAAATGGTTAGAATCTAGATTAGTTAACATTTTTAAAGGATGTTAAAGATGAAGAAAATATTAGTGCAAATATATACACACACATTTATATGCATATAATACATATACACAAGTATATATGTATCTTGATTTTAATAAAATAATCCCTAAAAAGATGTGTACATGAATCAAATTATACTAAGATAAATGTAATAATGATACTTGCTTTTAAATATAATTGTATGTCAATCTGCTTAATGAAGTGCAGAACCATCAGCTAACCTTATAAATTAAGATTGACAGCTTTAAGATTTGCTTTAGAGTATGGTATGCCTACATATGCAAATCTTCTTTGAGATCATTTCCAACAATGTTATCATTAAGAGTATGGGATTCATATTATTTCAAATGTGGTAAGTTGAACAAAATCAATACTGAACAACATACCTTTCAGATAAATTAAGCCTTTGGTGAAGAGGTTCTAATATTTGACATGTCTCTAGGCTGTCAACAGATGTCGAAGGCAATGAGTCTGATTGCACCTTGTTGGCATCACATAAATTAGCATCGTTTCTAGGTAGGGTCTTTCTGAATTTTCGTCCTAAATCCGTCCATAGGACATTCGTCAACATAACTTTGAGTTGCCTGTTATATACATAAATAATTAGTATATATGGTACTACACACTGTAGAATACATGAAGTCATCACAAACTAACAATATCTCCAGAAATCCCAAATTTCAGTTCTTCAAGTAACTAGAGTAGTAAATATCATAAGAAAAAAGAAAAAATGCCTAGCTATTCTCAAATATATCCTAAAAAGTAAAGTCTATTTCACTTAAGTTGGGATTTTCTTCAGAATTCTGTCAAGCATACTACAGTTGTCATTACACATGTACAGCTGCTAGATTCCTGGCAACCCACTCACATTTAGCAACAATGTTAGTAGAAGGAGAGTGTTCACCTGCACATCTCATCACAGACGAAATTGCTTTTTGTGCTAAAAATGTGTTTTTGTTTTAGCATTTGTTGATTCAGAAAACATTATTAAAACTAAGGGTGCAACACTTGCATCATTTACATTCCTAAGCCTACAGAGTCTTAAGATATAGATTTAATTTTACCTTATTTCTAAAATAGGTCAATTTATAACATTTACTTTACTGTACCTCTACCAATTTCAAAAAAAAAAAAAAAAAAACACACACTGATAAATGTAAGCAGTTCCAGCTACAGTTTTACTCAGCATGTTTTCCCCATCTTTTCATTCAGTACATCTTTATGCTGAATACTTGAATAACTATGTTCAGTTCCGGAATTCCAAAATCTATGGAATACAGTTTTTGCAGCATGTGAATAGGCTACCATGTACACTTAAAACAAGGTCAAGTGAGTGATGGCTGAAAGAGCTGAGAAATGTTTAATCAAAAGAGTGTCTGTTTTTCTACCTATGAAACAGTTTTAGGCACTTTTTGTTTGCTTAACAAACACAAGAATACTAAGAACAGCAAGATGTCCACATATTTTCAAGATAAAATGGGAACTCTCAAAAAAATCACTTGTTTGCAGCAGCCACTTGAGTGTACATTCCTAGACCATCTAGTGGAAGGAGGGTACAAGTCCCCAGGGTACTTCCACAGAACACACCAAAAACTCCAAACATATTATACTGAAAAAAAAGTTTAAGCTATTAGTTTAAAAATTATTTTAAAAAATGAAGAAATCAGTGACATCTCTCTGAATCAATAATAATTCAAGCACTTACTGAACATTTTCCAACAAAACAACTATGCTAGTATATTCTGGAGTTTCAGCCACAAACAAAATAGTTGAGTTTTTGCCTCTACCGAGTGTGCATTACAGAGAAGAATAAACCAATTCATTATTTAACTAGAATTCTGGTATGTGCTATGAAGAAGAAATAAAGATGTTGCATTTCTTCTGAGCCAAGTCATGGAAGGTTTTTCTGAGACTATGACCTTGAAGCCGAAGTCTCAAAGAAGGACAGGCACTATCCAAAGGAAATAAGTGAAAAATGGAGAAAGGTCTAAAAAACAGGACAAAATGCAAATGCTTTGAGTAAAGCTTCTTCAAAGAAATTAAAACACTTACCTGACTCAGGTACTTAGAATAAAGAGGAAATGTGTCTAAGAGCCTGCAGTTAGGCAGGACTTCGCAAACTATATTAAGGATCTGAGACTTTTTGTCAACAAGAATAGAAATTCACTAGTCTTAATTAGGAAACAATGAGATCAGAGCTACATTTTTAAAAGATCATTTTGATCTTTATGAAGAATCAAATGGAAGCACCAGCAATTATGGGGCATAAAAATTAATTTATGGAGATAATAATGACTTTATCAGAGAGAGTTTAGTAGAATGATGTGAGCAGAAACCAGAATACAGTGGGACGAGTAAAGGGAAAGGATCAAAGGAATATAGCAAATGAAAGTAGTTGAGAAATACGGTTGTGAAAGTAGAAAATAAGACAAGACCTGAAAATACACCTAAGAAGCAGGAAAGGGTTTTTAGTCAGTTATTGGTTGATTAGTTAGTTAAAGATAGGAAAAATTTGTATAAGTTTAAATGCTATGGGAAGCACTTTAAGGTTGAAGATGCAGAAGGCAGGATAATTAACACAGTAAGTTTCCTAAGAAATAAGTGCTAATATTTATTCAACATGTACTATATGCCAGGCACTGTGCTAAGCATTTTACAATTCTTTATTTCATTTAATCCTCACAACCATTCCATGAGGGACTCACAAGTTATTCTTTTCATGCAGTTGAGGAGACCAAGGTAGACTGATTAACATCTAAGCACACAGTAAAACAAGTAGTAAAAATGGGATCCAGAACCATACACTCTCAATTTTCTTGTCAGCACTCTTAACTGCTTCACACTACACTGGTTTATGATACAAGAGGCACTCCTTTCATTCTTGCAAGAAGGAGAAGGAACCAAGACCATCTCTTAAAAGTGATAGGAAAAGTAAAGGAACATATGTTTGAGAAAAGTTTCCAAATAATCATTGCAGAGCGGGGGAACACAAGCTTACTAAAGAAACACAGTAAGGCTGTCTTAGAGTTAAGAAATCCCTGTGAGATTAACACATTTATAATGCCACAAATATCTTTTTATTTTTCCAATCAGTGCCAGTCCTAAGTGTCAGCACAATGCAAACAGATGAGTTCACAGATGATTACTAATTGCAAAGAGGAAAAGGTGTCTTTACAGTGAGCTGATCTGGCAGGCACCACCTTATGCAAGTGCTCAAGCACAGAACTATTAAGAGTGAAACGACCAGAAATTATGTATCCCCTGCTGTGTGCAATAAAAGGCACATGACATCCGGTATGAAGTTTTCCTGCCAAAATATAACCTGGACCAATCATAAGGGCAAGTCCAGAAAAATAACAAAAATATAGACTGTGAGGCATTCTACAAGACAACTGGTCTGGACTCCTCAAAACTCAACGTCATGGTTAAAAGAGAAAGGGCAGACCAGGTTGGAACTCTTCTAGATTAACAGGCTAATGGGGTATAGTAGCCAAATACAATGCGTGAATCTGAATTTGATTCTATTAGGTTGGTGCAAAAATAACTGCAGTTTTTGCCAAATAAATTTAAAAATAAATAAATAAAAACATCTTGGGAACATTCAGGATATTCTGATTGTGGACTTTATAGCACATGACGATATGAAATTATTAATTTTCTTGATAGTATAATTGTTATGTAAGATAATGTCACTGTTCTTAGGAAAAGCAGGCGGAAGTATTTGAACATAAAATGCCATGATGCCTGCAAATTACTTTCAAATAGTTCCCCAAAAAATGTATGTGTCTATGTATACATGTATACATGTGATGCCCATCTATACACATGCATAAAAAGAGACCAAGAGACAGCAAACTTGGTAAAATGTTTAAAGACTATCAGACTATTATTTATAAGTTTTACAGCTATACAATTTAAAATTCTAAATGACCAAATAAAAATATATACAAAATTTTAAGGATATTTAAGGATAAAATGTAATTAAGTCTAATGGAAAAACTATATGACTTAGGTATTTGCTAAATTATTGGGGAAATTATCTCAATAGTAATTTTAATAATTTCAAATATGAGACTATTTGATGTTGGAAAAAGCCATTTTTCTATTCATTCAGACCAAATAAGAATTTATGTTGGAAAATAACAAATCATTGGTTTTACTGATTATTTTAATAGTGAGGCTCTAAATGAGAAGGACAATTTGGCTTCTCTGGGAAAATACTTATTTCATGCTTGGCTTTATTACAATTTTTCTGACTAAAAATATCCTGCAATAGAAGTCAGTAATCTCTTTCCCCTAAATTAGTAAGGTAAAAAATTCTAAATATCTACAACATTTAAGTGTCCCAAGATTTCTCTGTATATCAGAAGAGAAACTTAACAGTAAAGAACAACATTCAAACCAAGCAAATTAAAACCTAAATTTAGTATTTAGGGATATACTTTTAGGTAACAATACTATCCAAGAAAAATTAGAAAGTAATTACTTTTAAAGTTAGGTGAGTGGTTACCTTTAAAGCAGGGGTCCCCACCCCTCAGATGCTGACCAGCACCAGTGAGGGTCGTCCCTCTAGGCTTGACTTGCTCCCATAGGAGACTTTAGCCCTACTGGAACTGTTGGATCTGAACTCTGTAGGGTTGTCTTGCCCATCAAACAAGGCTGATGTGACCCAGCTACTCAGGAGGCTGAGACACGATAACTGCTGGAACCCAGGAGGTGGAGGTTGCAATGATTGGAGATCACACCACTGCACTCTAGCCTGGGCAACAGAGTGATACTCTGTCTCAAAAAAAAAAAAAAAAAAAAAAAAAAAAAAACAGAAATCTGCACTTAAAATGTATGTATTTTGTTGCATGTAAATTATACATCAATAAGATGACTAAAAAGCCATTAAGAAAATGCAAGATATTCATATTGCATGATGAAACCTTACTTAATTGAAACAAGGTCAGTCTTATGAAATTCGGATACAGGAAAATAGGAAAATGGGTAACATGCCTGAAATCAGTGGAAAATTAGTAAAGAGCATAATAAGGGTTGTATTCCATGACAGATGGCTACCTACACAGAGCATCAGCAACTTGAAGGATGGAAGTGGAATCGCCAAGAGACAAACTTCTTGATTTAGATATTCCAATGTCTATGGCAATAACTGACACAAGGACAAATCCAAGCCAGTTAAATTAGGTTGAATTTCTCAGGGACCCAACAAAACGCACCTCTGCCTTCATTCAGGTGCACTGCATCAGCACAGAATTTACTCCACAGAAGCACGGAGGTGAAAAGGGAGTGCCCTTAAGGATAGGTTGACACCTTTAAGCAGAATGAAAATGGGAATACACAGATCATCTACACTCAGCTAGCTGCCAAATCAAAGTTTTTATGCCTAAAGGAGCAGACAGGAAACAAAAAACTAACCGAGAGAAGATGGAAAACAAAACAGTTCATGAAAAAGAAAAGTATCAGCCATCCTGATACCACAATCCTCATAGTATTCTCCATGGCCCAATGCCCCCACAGCTTATGTGAATAACATCCCTTCTCCAGCGCCCACTTTCACCTCTCCATAGCACAGCACTTGCCG